CACCACAGCCTCGACCTGCTGGACTCTGGCGATCCTTCCGCCTCAGCCTTCCAAGTAGCAGGAACTACAGGTGCCTACTACCACACCCGGCTAATTTTTTTTGATTCATTGTAGAGATGAGGTCTCGCCTGCCCAGACGGTTCTCAAACCCGTGGGCTCAGCTAATCCACTCACCTCAGCCTCCCAAAGGCGCAGGATTACAGGCTGAGCCACCGAGCCCAGTCCCTCAAGGGTTTTAACAGCCCAGAGCCAGGCCAGACATTGGTTGGAGTCAGGGCTGGGTGTGATGACATGACCAGTTTGGTATCACTGTCAGAACATGGGGTTCTAGTCGTGATTTGCATCCTGGTTTGCCGGTGCCATACTTCTGCCGAATACAAACCCAGGGCTAGATTGTCCCAAAGGAAACCACCTCTGATTTGTAAGCATTGGAAAAGAGATGTTTCTTCCCTCTATCTTTCACCATTCCCCAGAGTCTCAAGCCCATTTCATTTTTTTTCTTTCCCGTCAGTTCTCTTCCCTTACACTTGGTTCCTTCCACTGGGGTTCACCTCACTCTGAGCCCAAGGCAAACTCTTTCCTCATCAGGGTGTTTTGTTTACCCCTCTGGGATCCAACTAGGTTTCTCCTGCTGCCAGTCTAACCCTCTTGAACTGTGACAAGTAAAAGTAGACAGGGAATAGTGAGGCTTTTAGAGAACTCAGGTTAACTGAAGTCATCACCTAAGCCTACTGTGTTCTTTCTACTGTCTCAGACTGTTAAACAGCAAAACTGCCTGTACAGCTTCTCTGAAAAACCCAACTCCCATCCCTTGCCCTTGTTGCAGAGCACTGGGGTGGTCGTGGGGCCAGGGAACACAGGCAACCCAGACTTTCTCTTAGAGTCAACATCTTTAAGCAGGGTGGGTCTGGGAGTAGCAGGAGCTACACAGAGGGAACCCACGCAACTGGAAAAGCTGACCTAGCTGTTGTGCTGGTCTCCTAGCAGCAGCCACTAGCAGCCCCCAGTGACCGCAGAAGTGCTGGGCTGGCCTAGAAGCTGTGACCTCACTGTGTTTGCTGTGGCAACAGCCACCAGCAGTTAATTCCCTTTCCTCCAGGAAAGCCAAGTATTTGCATTTGTGCTGGTGTGGTTTAGGCGCTTTTCTTCCCTTCCCCAAGCCAAGGAGTAAGTGGAGTGATTCGTTGCCGTAAAAACCATCACTGAGAGGCTTCTCAGCACTTCAGTTCCAAAGTGTCTGAGAACCCATCCCTCAAAGTCTAGTCACTTCCAAGGACAAAGTCCAGCTATTTATGAGTCCAGTTGGCTCCACCCCCATTCCTCCTATCCCATGAAGCTGCGGGAACTAGCCCTCCTGGCAGTGTTGCTTCTCTTCTCTGTTCCCTTATGAGTGTATTAACAGGGCAGTTCTGTCACATAGAAAACCTCCATGAAATGATTCTCCTCCGCACACTTGGTGTTCAGAGGAATCAAAATAGGATCACTTAGGGGAAAGAAAACAATGGGATGGGCTATCAGCAGAATGGTCTGGGGTCACCTTTACGCTGTGCTTACCTACTGGCTTTTGTGTCAGCAGAAAACCTGATTATTTAGCTGGAGGAAGCCAAATTCTGTCTTCCTGTGACCAAATGCCACCTTCTGCTTCTTTGCTTTTAGGAATGGAGTTGAGGGCAACTAGTAGGGAGAAGGGACTTAACTCTTCCTCTAACATGATGTTCCTTTTTAAACCATTTGTGGCCCAAGGCCTCTCCATGGGCCAGTGCTTAAGGCCCCATTAACAGTATGTGTGTACCTGCCACCCGCGTAACTGCCCACGTCCTTCATGATGGTTGAATATTTTCCCTAGGGAACAAGAAAGAATGTTTTTGCCAGACTTGTGCATCAGGGCTGGGGGATCTGGTTAGAGAACAATCACACCCACAGCCCAGATCTCCCAACAGGTCTGTGCTGGGGTTCCTGGCCTTTGACTGATCTGATCCACACTTTTCTTCTTGTTCCTTATGTGTTAGAAGAGGATTTCTTGTACCTTGTCTTTTTCTCAAGAGTTAATTTTCTGTGGTGCTTTCCATTGGGAGGACTCTCCAAAGACTATCAGTCCTGTTGACGATATTTTCAGATCTACCCTGTGGGTTGATTTCTTCCCCTGCCCACCTCCCTGCCACTTGCCAGAGATTTCACATCTGCAAATCCTCACGAGAGCCAGAAAGAGGGTGGTATGGTCTCTGTCTTTCAGATGAAGAAATTTGAGACTCAAACTAATTAGATGGCTTGTCTATAGTCTTACAGATAGTAAAGGACACAGCTGGGATTTCAACCCGGATGCTGCTTCCCCCAAAGTCTGTGTTCTTTTGTACGCTGCCTCGCTGTCCTTGCCTTTCTCCTGGGAAATAACTACAGCTGAATCTTTTCTTTAGTCTGGATTGTTGCAAGTCAATATTACAGTATAAATATCCATAGCACCCCACCCAGTGATGACCTATCAATGGTATCTCACATGTGTTGAATGTTGGCTGTGAGCCACAGCCTGAGCTGTGACAAGGGCTTTTACTCACATAAACTCATTTAGTATTCACAGCAACCATAAGACATTCATACTGTTGTCTTTTTTCAAGGCCTGAGACTCAGTAAATAAACAGTAAATTGATTTTACAGAAGAACCGTCTGAGTCTCTTTGGAGAAGCTGCTCAGCCAGGACCACACAAGTATGGCAAGGCCTAGTCAGGTTAGAGCCAAGGTCTTTTGAGCCATCCCAGCACACTGCCTGCCTCTCGTCAAGGCATCTCCTGCCCTGGAGGCCACCCATGTCCCCTCATTTGAGTAGTTTCTTACACTTTGTCAGTTGCTTTCTGGTCATCTTCGTACTCAATCCTCACCAACCCTGGGAGACAGGCCTTTCAGCCCCATTTTGCAGATGAAGCAACTGTCAGGACTGGCCAGAGTGAATTAGTAGTCATACCAGGACCCAACCCTAAGCTCTTTCTACCCTACCAGACTGCATCTTCAGAATACAACATTTTTGGGGTCCCTTTGTACATGCCCCTTTTCATACTATTTTTCCCCTCTGCAGCTTCTCACTTAGGTTCCTGTCAGAGTTACTATAAAGTTGTTTAAGCAGGCATCTGTTTAGGAGACTGAAGCAGTTTAGGGGACTGAAGCAGGAGGACTGCTTGAGCCCAGGGGTTTGAGACCAACCTGAGCAACATAGTGAGACCCCATCTCTACCAAAAGAATGTAAGCAGTCAGGCAGTCAGCCTATAGTCCCAGCTACTTGGCCGGGAGGCTGAGGTAGGAGGAGTGTTGGAGCCCAGGAGTCTCAGGTTACAGCAAGCTATGATTGCACAACTGCATTCCAGCTGAGACAGAATGAGACCTTGTCTTAAAACAAAAAAAGTTGTTAATGCAGGTCAAAACTCATTACTCTGTTTCTGAGTTTCTGGGTTTGGGTAAGGAGGATACCTGTTTAGGTGCCTGGGTGCCACTTTCCAAAGCTTCAGACTAAGGAAGTCTCAAGTGAAGTTTGGTCTGCTTGTCTTTTATGTAGTGTCCAGGTGATTCAAATGTACAGGCTGAGTCCAACAGATGTGGGCCCCATTCCCAAAGGGCCTGTCATGTAAGAAGTATTCAATAAAGCTGATACTGTTATTGCTGTCAACCATATATGTTGTTAGAGCAGGGGTCCCCAACCCCCGGGCCACAGACTGGTACCAGTCTGTGGCCTTTTAGGAACTGGGCCACATTGCAGGAGGTGAGTGACAGGCAAGCGAGTAAAGCTTCATTTGTATTTACAGCCACTTCTCCATTGCTCCATTATGCCTGAGGTCCGTCTCCTGTCAGATCAGCGGCGGCATTAGATTCTCACAGGATCGTGAGCCCTATTGTGAACTGCGCATGTGAGGGATCTAGGTTGCATACTTCTTATGAGAATTTAATGACCTAGATGAGGTGAGGTGGAGCTGAGGTGTGATGCTAGCGCTGGGGAGTAGCTGCAAATGCAGGTTAACATTAGCAGTGGAGGTTTGACAGCACAGAGACCATAATAAATCAGTTGCTTACAGATGCATATCAAAACCTGATCAGCGAGTGACAAGTGGGTTGTACATCAGTTGTACAGCTGCATTTGGTGGCAGGCTTTAAGTTAGAATCCGACAGTTATTTTAGTCCACATGTGGCCCACCTATTATTTTATTTACTACTGACGTCTGCGCCTCTTTTATTTTATGGTGAGTTGTATAATTGTAATTATCTCATTATATATCACAATGTAATAATAGAAATGAAGTACACAATAAATGTTATGCTCTTGAATAATCCTGAAACTCTCCATCCTCCCTGCCCCACTGTCTGGAAAAATTGTCTTCCACAAAACTGGTCCCTGGTGCCAAAAAGATCGGGCACTGCTGTTCTAGAGCACTGTTCTGCCAGCTTATATCAGCCCAGGACACTACCTGCTGTCACACAGAAGAGGGGAAAAAAACATTAGTAGGGAAACTGCACTTGTGAAAACACAGACTATTAACTGCTCAAACTTGCCGGGTAAAAGTATGTGGGTGAGGCTGATGTTTCAGAGAAGGACTGAGGGAATAAAAGAACCTTGGTGTTGATGAAACAATCTACAAAATTGTCCAAAGGAACTGATTAATCAATGCATATTCATTCTATAGATGTTCTACAGTCATTTAAAAAGAACACTGAGCCGGGCTCGGTGACTCAGCCTGTTATCCCGCGCTTTGGGAGGCCGAGGTGAGTGGACTGCCTGAGCCTGCAGGTTCGAGACCCGCCTGGGCAACTTGGCGAGACCTCATCTCTACAATAAATCAAAATATCAGCCGGGCATGGTAGCGCGTGCCTGTAATTCCAGCTACTCAGAAGGCTGAGGCGGAAGGATTGCCAGAGCCCAGCAGGTTGAGGCCGCAGCCACTGCACTCCAGTCTTGGGTGACAGAGTGAGACTCCAACTCAAAAAAAAAAAAGAACACTGCACAGAAAAATTTTAGAGAAACGTTACATGAAGAAGAGCTTCAGGAGAATGTGCATAGTTCAATTCTACTTGTGTTTAAAATCGCATAGCTATTTATAGACGTGTACATATTGGTTATCTCTGGGAGGTACGGCTGGCACTAGGAGGATGTAAGGATTCTACTCTAAACTCTATACTTTATACTATGAATATTTTTCCAAGTGCATGTATTACTTTTAGGATAAGGACAAGAAGTTGTAAGGCACAATGCCAAGAACAAAATAGGAGTAAAAAGTAAAGCTCCAACCATTTCAAATCCTTTGCCTTATGCCTGTCTGCAGCCACTTTCCCAAGTCAATTCATGAGTCAAAGGTGGACTCAGGAATCCTCAAAATGAAGACAAGCCACTTCCTGAGTTTCTCTGCTTAGAAGGAGCACTAGTATCATTTTCTCAGTCCTGGCCTGCGTAATACCTCTCAAAGGAAAAAAAGACAACTCTTAATGTACCATCTCTTGCCTCTTCTGTTACCTACCCTTAGACAAATGTTTATGGGTCAGCCCAGAGACGAAAAATGAGACCATTTGAAGGCTTCCAGCGCAAAGCTATTGTAATTTGTCCCACTGATGAGGACCTGAAAGACCGAACGATAAAGCGAACTGACGAGGAAGGGAAGGATGTCCCAGATCATGCGGTCTTAGAAATGAAAGGTAGGAAATGAGTGGTTCCCAGAGGAACGTTACAAGGGTCCTTAAGAGAAAAACTCTTTACTTAGTTCGTCCTTACCTGGCTTCCTAATTATTCCTTTTTTGATCTTGGCTCTCTCTTTCTTTGCTTTTGCTTTGTCCCTTTTCTATCTACTACAGCTGTGAATGGAAAAGCTACCTGTCCCTGTCTAGTTTTCAGACAGGATGGGGCTGGGACAGCATGAGGGAAGTGACGTGTGGGAGCAAAAGCTGAAAGGCCTGTACGCTTGCCCTGTCTTTGGCTCCCAGTAGGTGGGCTGACTATAGGCAAACCTCAGTTTGCTCCTCTGTAGAAATAGGGATGGTGATTCCACCTCTCAGACCCTTTCCCTGGGGTAAGGCTGGAGGAAGCTAGATACTGTGGGGCATAGCCACCTCTTCAGGAAAGGGAGGAAAGGGACTTTGTTCGTTGTCAGGGCAAGGGGTTGGGATTGGTCTGCCTTTTCTTGTTCACTACTCATTTTCTCCACCCTCTCTGTTCTGGGTAGAGGGCACCAGAACTCAGAAAGTACTGATCTCTCCTTGCTTCCTCTGGGGCGCTCCTTTCCTCCTAGCCAACTTCACATTGCCAGATGTTGGGGACTTCCTGGATGAGGTTCTGTTTATTGAGCTGCAGCGGGAGGAAGCAGACAAGCTGGTGAGGCAGTACAACGAGGAAGGCCGCAAGGCTGGACCACCGCCTGAAAAGCGCTTTGATAACCGAGGTGGTGGTGGCGGCTTCCGGGGCCGCGGGGGTGGTGGCGGCTTCCAGCGTTATGACAACCGAGGTCCTCCTGGAGGCAATCGAGGAGGCTTCCAGAACCGAGGGGGAGGCAGCGGTGGAGGAGGCAACTACCGAGGAGGTGAGACAGCTCTCCACTTGTTCCCAGGTTGGGGTTGGGCTTTTTTTGTTGTTAATTCAGTCTGCAACTAAAGTTTACTGAGCACTTGCTGTGAGTTGAACTCTGGTAGAGAACCAAAACAAGACTCTAGGACTTCACAGAAACTCTCTTCCACTGTCCCTCTCCCCCCAGGCATTGATTATGAAGTCCTTTGCCCATTTGCATATCCCAGTGTTCTTTCTGTCACGTTGTTGTCATTTTTGTGAATCTGACCATGAGCTCCTTGGGAGTAGGGGCCAAATCAAGCTTACTGCCACTCCTGGATCCTAGCTCGGACCTGCCATGGCACAGGGCAAATGCTAGGACTGTCTTTTGGGTTTGGGTTTTAAGACAAATGTGGAGAAGTGGGCTTAGAGAGTAGGGTTTGCCCAAGACCACCCAGCTAAATCCAGAGTTGAGAGTCAAGTTATCCAAAGCCCAAATTCCTAGTCACCAAGTGCTGCTGTCTCTAAAGTAAAGTGTTCATAATTTAACAAACATGGCCTGAGCCCTACTGTATTTCAGTCTTGTGCTGGATAGTTCTGGGGACACAGCCATGACCTAGATAGCTTAATGGGAATGCCCAGAGATGCTGTGACTTCAGTTGACCCCAGTCTAGCCTATAGGGAGACAGCAGGGCTCAGGAAAGGCCTTTTGAGGTACTGATATCTAAGCTAAGGTCCATAAGCCCAGTAGGAATTGCCAGGCAATAGGGCGTCAGGCCCAGGAAACAGCTGCACAAAGGCTCAGGAGAGGTCTCAAGAAGACTAGTTGTGATTTCATGGCTGTCTCCAGTGCTTAGCATCCTCTTCCTAAATGTCTCTAGCTTGTGCAACAGCTATAACAATACTGGGACACAGTAGAAACCCAAGACCACCTGGTCCCTACTTTACCGGTTTCACAGTCCAGTGGATCAGACACAGCTGTAACTATGCAGTCATGACCTAGTGCTATCAGGACTGGGACAGAGGAGTGTGCCCAGGGACCTGGGGGATCCCAGAGTGTGCTTTATTTGTTCTCTTTGAGTTCCTACTCTGTGCCTGGCCATGGTAGGGCACAGCAGTTGCCAAGGCAACCCAGTTCCTGAGGGTTCCAAGTTGAAAATGATGGGGCCTCTCTGGATCTCTGTGGTGCAGGTTTCAACCGCAGCGGAGGTGGTGGTTACAGTCAGAACCGCTGGGGTAACAACAGCCGGGATAACAACAACTCCAACAACCGAGGCAGCTACAACCGGGCTCCCCAGCAACAGCCACCACCACAGCAGCCTCCGCCACCACAACCACCACCCCAGCAGCCACCGCCACCCCCCAGCTACAGCCCTGCTCGGAACCCACCAGGGGCCAGCAGCTATAACAAGAACAGCAACATCCCTGGCTCGAGCGCCAATACCAGCACCCCCACCGTCAGCAGCTACAGCCCTCCACAGGTAAGAGAAAGAATGTGTGTTTGTATGTAAGTACACACAGATGCTGTTGAGCCTGCAAGTAAGAGGAGGCAGATCTTGGGAAATCAACACATGCTCTAGCCACTGGGCTTCAGTCTTGACTTCTTTTCTCCTTGCAGTGCTTTTGACTGGGATAAACCCTAGACATTCCCAGATCTCCTGCAAACCCAGGAGTAAATTGAGACCTTCCCAGAACCTACTACTCTCCCACTGCCGTCAGGGGTATGGGCAGTAAGCCTGGATTCCTCTAGCAAGTATACTTCTCTTGGCTGTGTCACTAACTTCACTGAATTCCCAGGAAAGTACGTGATTGGAGTCACCCCTTGCCCAGCCTGGAAGACGCTGACCTCTTTGACTTTAGGGTATAGAGACCAGAGCCCTGAGATTTCTGAGCACTTGCCCTCTGCGTGGAGAGCTTCATTCCTGAGCAGCTCTGGGCTCAGTTCCAGTTCTTGAAAAGTCTGCTGTGGCTCTGGTATGCATGGGCTCCTGTTAACCAGAGAGGTCTTCGTTTATTGCTCATCCGTTTCCTGAGTACTTTCCACGTGCCAGATCTGGAAGCAGATGCCAGGAGACAGTTGAGTGGTTCCCAATTTCAGTCTAACCAGAATATTTCCTAGAACAGGAGTTGGGCAGGCACAAAATCAAACCCTGGCCCCACTGCAGCTTGGTTTTGTAACCTTGGGCAAGTAGCTTAACCTCTCTGGGCCTCGTTTTCTCCATAAAGGTGTTAGTAGAGCTCACTTCCAAGGTTTGTTGTGCACTGAAGCTTTGTGATTAAGGCTCTAAGACTAGGCAGATCTGGGAACAGATTCTTTTTTGCTGTGTGACCTTGGCCCCGTAACTTTACATTCTTGATCCTCAGCTTCCTTCTCTGTAAAATGGGGCCAGTGGAACCTACTTTCTTAGTATGGAAATTAAGTGAGTTAATGATACAGTCTGTACTCAGGAGACACTTAGTGAATTACCACTACTGGTTTTCTCAGCTGATTTTTCCAGTAACGACTACCACCATTTATTGTGTCCAGTGGTCTGTACCCATAGCTTTTTTAAATGCACAGGTCGATCCGAAGGAGTAGTTAGCTCTGTTGTGATTCTCCTTTTACAGAAAACTGGGATTTCAAGAGATGCTGTGTACCTTGCTCCCCATAGTCTCAGAGCTGGGATTGGAGTCCAGAACTCAGCCCTAGGACTTGCCCTTCATCCTACCCTGTCCTGCCATGTCATTGAGCTGACCCATCGTCTCCTCAGCCCTTAACCGTGTCCGCCAGGGGAGAGCCCCTGGGAATCATCTACTTAAAAAGGCCTTTCTCCATCCCAACCTTGAACTGGCTATTTCATAGCACTTTGGGTTTTTTTTTTTCCTTCACTCTCCAGCCGAGTTACAGCCAGCCACCCTACAACCAGGGAGCTTACAGCCAGGCCTACACAGCCCCACCGCCTCCACCTCCGCCACCACCTGCCTACAACTATGGGAGCTACGGCGGCTACAACCCGGCCCCTTATACCCCACCACCACCCCCCACCGCACAGACCTACCCTCAGCCCAGCTATAACCAGTATCAGCAGGTAGGTGCCAGACTGGGAGCCAGTGGGATGGAGAGACTTCCAGGGTCCCCTCCTGGGTTACTAAGACAGCGGGCAGCCTGCTGGCCTCAGGCTGGTATTCATCTGGTACAGCCATTTCATTTGGTAAACACTGCTGCACTGGGTGCTAAATAACTGGTATGCTAGCCCCTCTCCATGGTGCAGCAAAAAAGGAAGGTCTGGCACAGCGGGGGCCTCCAAGTTCTGCTTCAGCACCATGGCCAGGGGGCTCCAGATCCTTGGTGCTCAGGCCACCATATCTGTTATAAATATTTTGGATGTCATATCCAGCTATACCTGAAAGGGCATTGGGTTGACAAGTCAGGAGACCTGGGCTTCAATCCCTAACTGCCTGCTTGTGTGGCATCAGGTCAGTCCCTTGTCTCCTAGGGTGCCTTGATTTCTCTGCAAGGGGACTTGTGTCTACTGTTGTCACTGCACCCTTCTCTGTCCCAGGTGAGGGTGGGGCCAGGGGAGGAGCCGATATGGAGTGGATGCAGGATAACTTAGTGCTCTTGGTTTCTTTCCTCAGTATGCCCAGCAGTGGAACCAGTACTATCAGAACCAGGGCCAGTGGCCACCATACTACGGGAACTACGACTACGGGAGCTACTCCGGGAACACACAGGGCGGCACAAGCACACAGTAGCCAGTGTGTCCCAGATGCTCCCGGAGGCCCCGCCGGCTTCCTCCACCAGCGCCTGCCTTGGTCCCTCCTCCACCCCAACCAGGTCCCGTGGTGCTGGGGATGGGGTCATCCCGGGGCTGCCTCCCTCCAGCCCACTGCCTCCCCTCTGAGGGGCTTTTTCCCCCACCCAGGGCCAGGCATTTTTCTCTGGATTCAAACAGGCAACAATGATCTTTTATTTTCTGTTTCCCCCGTCTCCTAAACTCCCACCTCCTGTTCTTCCTCCCCCTTTTGGACTCAATAATCCCTCCTCTCTCTTGGCCGTGCAGTGAGGCTACAGCGACTGAAGGGAGAAGCCCTTCCTATTCACTCGTTCCGGTTCTGCTCCAGCCCCCTCAGCTTCCCAGACCTCCATGCAGTTGGTTGTAAATTCTTCCAGGAGCTGTTTTACTGTCTACTTTTCAGGATTAAAAAAAAAAAAGAAAAATCAAAAACTTAAAAAAAAAGTTTAAAAAGCAAAATGTGGAGGGAGGAAGCAGTGACATATTTTTTTGGTAATTATGCTTTTTTTTAATTTTTAGAATTTGTCTGTTTTTACTGTGGGTCGGCTGTCGATATTTCATCAAGATAACCTTTTTTTTTTTTTTGCTGAGTTCAGGTGACAGAGGAAGAGCCACACCCTTGAAACAAAACAAAACACACAAAACAAAACCACAGAATCATCTTTAACCTAACTTTTTATACAATGTCTCAGTTCCCCCTAACTTTGCACACAAGCTTCTGTGTTCAGTTGAATTGTAACTGCTTTTTGTATTTGGAGAGAGTGTGACTATTGAACTTGAAACCTTTTATTCTAGGCCTCTTGGTAGTTTCTGGTGGGATTAAGTGGGTAAGAGGGAAGAAGGGGAGGTGGTGGTGGGGGGGGCTCCTTCCCTTCAGAGCATGAAGTTTTTCCCACTGCCTCCTCTCCAGTGGTCTCCCAGGGACCAGACCTAAAAGTTTTTCCCACGGTGATCCTCTGATTATTTTTACTTCTCCTTGACCCATATGTTTTAACAGGATTTTAACAAACTGCACTTATTAAGAAATATGTTTGCCCTGTTTTGTTTTGTTTCATTTTGTTTTCTTTCAATAAATGACATGACACCTCTTAGGAAGGCAGCAGGGTCAAAACCCTGAAGTGTTACTGCAGTTGGCCTTTAATTGGGGTTGGGACCCCTTTCAAGGAGAAATTATGTAGTCATGTATTAAACACAGGAATTTGTGTGCCTGGCCCCGATTGTGGTGCTAAGAATGTGCCCTTAAACAAGGGCCCCTGGTTTAAAATCTACTAGTTCATTTTTAAAATGTCTCTCTGGTTCTCCTCACTGCCAATCCCTCTGGGAATTTTTGTTGTTTGAGTGTAAGGTATGAAGCAGGTCCCTAGCAGAAAGATGGGGGCCTGATGGGGTAGAGAGACCAGGGCTGGCTTGTTGGGGATCATCACCAGGTACTGACTGACCACCTCAGGCCTGGCCTGTGTGCTGCACTTAGGGGACACTTCTGCTGCTCACCTGCGGTCCGAGCTAACGGGTTCTGGAAGCTTCGTTTTTCAGCCAGTGTGTGTAGGGCACCTGTTCTGTTCTACTGTCCCAGGCACAGCGTGGCCAAGGCAGTCCAGTTCTTACAGAGCTCCCACCCCGGAGAAACACACATCTGTCCTCAGTGCCGGCACCAAGTAGTCGGCTGGAAGAGTCTGGGGCGGTGTGAGGGGAGGGCTTGCTGGAGAGGGGGCAAACTGAAAGCTGACGGGAGTGAGCCGGGGTAAAAGCCTTAGGTTGCATCCTCACACCCATCGTCCTTTCTTGGCAACTGCAGCGGTTTCTTTTTTCCCCCAGTACCTTCCTGGCACCTTGTGAGGGGCTGCGCCACAGGAGAGGCCGGTTCAGCCCCAGCCTCCTCACGGGAGCTCGGAGCCTTGCGAAGGAAACATGAACTACGGAAACGAAGGAGGCCAACTAGTTTCAAAATCTGGGGTGGGGGATCAGAACATGTGAAGGGGCCGAGGGTGGTGGCAAAAAGGAACCATGGACTTCCCCTCTCCTTGCTCCGAAAAGGGGCGGGAGGGCCTCGGGGCCGCAGGCTGGCAAGTCTCCCTCGCAGGTCCATGTGGTGGGAGGCGGCGCCCTCTGCTGGCCTCGCCTGGTAACGCCTGGGTACAGCCTCCACCTCTGTATGGTGTGTAGATCTTGACTCCTCCACGTCTCCAGAGATCATGGGAATGGGACTGAGGAAGTCCTTCCTCTGCTCTCAGCCACAGCCTCCGTATTGTGACACCAGATTCCTCACAGACCTCTCCAGTTCCTCACCTAGATCTTGCCTACTCCCTGCAAGATAAAGGAGGTCAAGCTACTTAATATGGCTTATGAGGCCCTGCATGGCCCAGCACCTGGTAACCTCACTCCATGTCTTTCTGATCCTCCTTTGAACATCACATCAGCGGTTCTTTTGTTGTAGGGGGTGACAAATCTTATATTTTTTTATGTTTTGAGTCAAGGTCTCACTGTCGCCCAAACGAGTACAGTGGCACAATCATGGCTTACCACAGCTTTTTTTTTTCTCTTGAGTTGAAGTTTCACTGTCCCCAGGCTGCAGTGCAGTGGCATGATCAAAGCCACCACAGCCTCAACCTGCTGGGTTCAGGCGATCCTTCGGCCTCAGCCTTCCAAGTAGCTGGAACCACAGGTGTGTGCTACCATGCCTGGCTAATTTTTTGATTTGTTGTAGAGACATGGTCTCGCCAAGTTGTCCAGGCAGGTCTTGAATCCCTGGGCTCAGGCAGTCTTCTTGCCTCTGCCTCCCAAAGCGCTTGGATTACAAGCGTGAACCACCACACCCAGCTAATTTTTGTGACTTTTTTTGTAGAGATGAGGTCACACTACATTGCCCAGACTGGTCACAAACTCCTGGGCTTAAGTAGTCCTGCTTAGGCTTTCCAAAGTGCTGGGGTTACAGGTGTGAGTCACTGTACCTGGCAGCAAGTCTTACAAATGCCATGCACCTCTGCCTTGGAGGTGACATGTGAATTTTTTTTTTTTTGAGTTGGAGTCTCACTCCATTGCCCAGGCTGGAGTGCAGTGGCACACATGCTCACGGCCACCCCAATGTCAACCTGCTGGGCTCTGGCGATCCTTCCGCCTCAAACTTCCAAGTAGCTGGAACTACAGGCGTGCGCTAATTTATTTTATTTATTGTAGAGACGAGGTCTCACCAAGTTGCCCAGGCTGGTCTCGAACCCACGGGCTCAGGTGGTCTACTTGCCTCAGCCTCCCAAAGTGCTGGTATTACAAGCTGTGAAATTTAGCATAAAGATGAGGTTCTCAAGCCCACCACAGCCCAGTCATGGCCTTCAAATTGGCACTTTCCTGTGCTGTGAGCATACTGAAGTCCTTGCAGCAAACCAAAACTATTCATACGTGAGACCCTTCCCTACCCCCCTCCTCTTACCCCAACTCCTTGCAAGTCCCCTCCCAGAGAGAAGCTTTCCCTGACCCTCCAGCCTAGGATGGACAGCTCCCTCAGCCCCCTGGGTCCATCGGAGGCCTGACCACTCAGGCTGGTCACTGGTGATACGCCTGTCTACTCTAGGCAAAAGACATTTAAATATGAGTCTACCTGTCCTCCGGAGTAAATTAGAGCCGCGTTTACCTTCTTTCACATCCAGAGTCCCTCCAGGCCCTGGGAACAAAGTGGCAAGTTCTCTCTCTGATCTCACCACCCATCTCATGCCAGCTAGGAACTGGGTACGATAGCAGGAATTAAGAATCAAAGCTTAGTAAATATTCCTGAAGTAGTGAAGAAATGAAGGGGACAGACTGGTGTCCAATCCAGAGCACAAAGTATGACAGCTCCAGACCCTGGAGGGTGGTCGTCAACCAACCATCCCAAAATTAAGCACGTTGGCAGCTGGAGTCACAGCAGTAAACAAAATAACAACGAATGGTTCAGGTTCCTCCCGCTTTCCAAATTTTCAGTTAGCACAGTCTAAAAGGTCTCACGCCGGTGCCCCTTGGCTACGGAGACCGGGGCCCCGAGAGAGACACGCATGCGCATAGGTAGGTCCGACTTTGGCCGGAACTTTGGTGTCTGGGCACAGTGATGCGCACGGACACGGGAACATTTTCAACCGGAAGTGACTCTTGAATGCTTGGAGCCCAGGTTGATGTGCGGAACCCCCCACGGCGGTTAACAAGTCGGAGAGAATCAGGATGGAGGCCGTGGCGACGGCGGCGGGGGCAAAGGAACCCGATGAGGGTGAGGTCCCGGCCACGCGAAGGCGGTGGGAGGGTGCGGCTGTGGTGCCACTAGGAAATGGTTCCCCCAGGAATGCAAAGGAGGACTCTTTATAGGGGGACACTTGCCCTCAGCCTTACCTGCCCTCTTCACCACTTTGTCCAGATTATCCCCTTTCTCGTTGCAGGCTCCCTTCTCTCCATTCCTTCCCCCGAAATTAACCTCTAACCAAGGGGCAGACCAATCCTTTCCGTGTCTCGAGCTAACATAAACCTCTTCCCTGCCCCGGGCTAATTCTCCGTCTGTCTCAAGCCAGCCCTTCTCAGGGTATGTATGTATGTGTGTATGTCGGAGTCTCACTGTGTTGTCCAGGCTGGAGGGCAGCGGCACGCTCACGGCCACCGCAGCCTCAACTAGCTGGGCCCAGGCGATCCTTCCGCCTCAGCCTCCCAAGTAGCTGGAACTACAGGTGCATGCCACCACTCAGCTAATTTTATTCATTTATTTATTAGAGACTACATCTCACTATGTTGCTCAGGCTGGTCTTGAATTTCTGGCCTCAAGTTATCCTCACACCTTGGCCTCCCAAAGTGCTGGGATTACAGGTGTGAGTCACTGCATCCAGCCAGCTCTGATTCTTGTCTGGACTCTGATGACACCCGCAGCTCTGACTCCAGTCCAGCATTTCTCTACTGAGGAATCTGATGGTCCGTGTACCAGCAGTCAGTCAGACCATCCATTCCCTTGGTCAGAGCCTAGGACCTTATCCCAGATGACTCCCTTGTTTCCCACCCACTCTTTCATCTCTTCTTCCACAGCCCCTGCCTTTGTCCAGCTAGGTCTTCTCCTGCCTTAATGATTGACTTCTCCCTGAAACCCTACACCTGTAACGTCACTCCCTCTCTCTGCCCCATCTCGACCAAGCTGCCTAAAGAATTGTGATGCTCTCTGTCTTCACTTGTTTCCTGCTTGCTGCAGGCTTGCTCCATTCCCACTGTTCTTGGGAAACTGCTCTCACCAATGTTTGCCCAGCACTTGGCTTTCCTGTTATCTTTGCCTGTATTATCTTTGATCTTGCCTGTCTCCCTGGGCACTCTCCGAGGACAGAAGCTGGATTGGATACTTCCCATGGAGCCTTGGCATTGCCTAGTTTAGGGCGTCGCAAGGATTGAGAGGTGCTGAAGAATGTTTGGGTAAATGTGAATGCACGAAAGAATGAATGAATGAACAAGTTAGTGAATATATTGATTTTGTGAACAAGTGAAAAGACAAAAAATGAGGCTGGGCATGGTGGCTCACGCCTGTAAAACCAGCACCTTGGGAGGCAGAGATGAGAGGATTGCCTGGACCCAGGGGTTCAAGACCAGTCTGGGAACCTTGGCAAGACCCCATCTCTACAATAAATCAAAAAATTAGCAGGCATGGTGGTGGATGCCTGTGGTTTCCAGCTACTTGGAGGGCTGAGGGGGAAGGATCACCTGAGCCCAGCAAGTCAAGGCTGTGGTGGCCGTGAATGTGCCACTACACTCCAGCCTGGGCAACAGAGTAAGACTGCTACTCAAAAAAAAAGAAAAGAAAGAAAGTAGTGGGTCAGTAAGTCAGGCCTCAGGACTTTAGCACTAGTTGTTTCCTCTACCTTGAACTCTCTTCCTAAGAGCATAATCCTTCACCACCTTAGGTCTCTATTCAAATGTCACTTTTTTGGGAAAGTCTTCTTTGAGTCTTTCATTTTAAATTGCAAACTCCTGCTCGGTGGCTCAGCCTATAATCCCGCGCCTTGGGAGGCAGAGGTGAGTGAATTGCCTGAGCCTGCGGGTTTGAGACCCACCTGGACAACTTGGCGAGAC